CTTAACGTGATATAGGTGGTGGTTCACTCAGAAGTAGAGTCTTAGTCTGAGATTTATGGTCAAGGAGTTTAATGTGTGGAATCCAAGCAGAGAAGTAGAGGCATGAGACAGGGGAAGGAGTTAAGTAACAGGTATACTATTGAGGAAATTTCCATAGGGAACCCTGGAAGCCAGTGTGGAACCTGCCTCAGAGTTACCTTCCCAAGGGCACAGACACTGGGATGTTTATCCTCCAACTCCTGAGTACCATTAGTTTGGGGCCATAGTCCTTCAGAGATGTTGACCATGAATGAGAACAGGCTCAGGAGGGCAATGGTGGCTGCTAGTATCAGCAAGAAGACTGATTATTTTTGAGCATAAGTAAACCAGCTTGCCTCTCAGAAGGACCAAGTACATCTGCAGGTATGAACAACACAGTAAAGTCTGCTGACATGTTCCATAAATTTTGGCAATTCTTCCAAGGAAATGATCTGGCTGTTTCCATGTAAACAGAAGAGATCTCGACAGATGGTGGTCAGATGTACCCACATTATCCAGTGTTAACAGTCTTGACTATACCAAGCTATTGGATAGTTGTGAAATGTTATGTCCAAAGAGGAAGAAGATGAAATTACATCACTGATAAATTTTATATAGAGTGCATATGACAATATTTTGGCTTAAACGCTACAGTCTACACATTCATTTCACCTGTTTTTGTTTTTATTTTTAATGCACTACCAAGAAATTTTCAATTTCATTACAGCTCTCATTTATGATCTCATTATAGTTCTTCTGGTCAAAGCTATTCTAGATCATGTTCTGTACCAGCAGTTCTCATTCAGGGCCAATTTTACACCCATGGGACTTTGGACATTGTCTGGAGACATTCTTGGTTGTCACTTCTTGAGGGGAGGACAGGGAGACTGTTAAACATGCTAGGAATCATAGGACAGTCCTTACAACAAAGCCCCACATATCCATAGTGCCAAGACTTGGGAACCCCTTCCTAAACCATAGCTATTGAGTGCCAGGAACCCAGCAGGGTCTAGGGTATTAGAACAGATGGGTTGGGGTAGGGATTTTCTGTAGAGTGGGGATAGTAAGGCCAATATACACAGCCATTGCTGCTCATCTGTGGGTCACCAGGCAGCACATGAATCCCTGTATATTGAGGTCATTGTATTTAAGACCCATGAGAGTGCCAATGGGGTAGGTGACATCTCCATTTCACAAGTCAAGGTTGCTGCAGTTTAGAGGGCTCAGGAGCAACTGTATTTAGGAAGGGGTGGGGACTGATCTAAATCTCAGTGTCCTCAGTGAGCATGTGCTTTATGTGCTACAGAGAAAAGAAGTGTAACTGATGAGGTGAGGTTCAAGTCTCCTGAACCCATTTATTACTTTCCATCAAGAGGCCAGTTGTGTAGATTAGGCTCCCTAAATGATCTCTGGTCTTGACCACTTCTGTCCTCCAATTCCTGCTCCACACCACAGGGATCTTTCCCCCAAACTAAAGCCTTTCATTTTTTCTTTTATTAAATTTGGGCTACAGTCCATACTCTTATCATGTCCTGGAAAACTGGGACTTGAATTTGATATATTTTTGTTAAGGATGTTCAATATATTTTGGGCTTGGTATGCAAAGAATCACAAAATGCCTACAAGATGTTGTTACATGTTACTAATGGTCATTAATAAAAGTATGTCTTAAGGATAAGATTGGTGAGATTTCTTTCTGTAAATGAAGGTGTTTAGGGGACAGTATTTTGCTTCTGTAGAATGGGCCCCCCATACCTTATACACACAGGAAGGAAATTATATATAGTATTTTTGTATTGTAGCGTTTTGACTCTAACCCATCTACACAAGATCAGTTGTAGAATTTTACACTGATAATATCATGTCAGCACTTAAAAGCACATTCATACCACTTTGTTATCAAACCAGCAATATATGCTTATTGAAATGAGACTTTAATTGGAGGTAATATAGGAGGTTTATGTTGTTTTACTTTAAGCCTACAAATGATCAGTTCTTTGAAGGCAGGGACTCTGGTTTACCTTTTTCTGTATCCCAGTAATATTGAATAAACAATAGGCTTTGATAGTTCCAGGTTTGTAAGATTGCAAAATTGTGATGATCCTGAAATAGATCACTTTAAAAAGTACAGGATTTATATGGGAATGAGGGGATATATTATGGAATGTAGTACAAAATACAACCGTTTTTAAAATGTAAAGGATTTTAAGCCTCATCTGTTGGGAATGAGTGGATATACCACACAATATATTCTAAAATATTTAAGTTTCTAAAGCATAATCTTGTATTAGCCTGGTGGAAATAAGAATACATTACACAATATATTCATTTTAAAATATAATGGATCTTGATTACCATCTAGTGGCAGTAAGGGAATATAGTACAGAACATATTAGGTTTTTTTTTTTCTTTTCTTTTGGGAAGAGGTTTTTGCTATAGGGCGTGTGCACTCACCAGAAAGACAGAGACAGACAGAAGGCCAGAAATCACTCCCCAGGGGGAATGGCCATGCCACAATCCCTTCTCCATTTTCCTCTCAGGATCTTGGGCACGCATACACACTAACCCGCTGTGAGTTTAGGCCACCAGGTCCAGGACTCAAACTGTGGTTGACCAATGTGGGAGTCCAATGACGTAGCCATTACACCATATGCTAGTCCCAGAACATACTAGTTTTTAAAGTTTAATGGATCTGTGGGTCTTGATCATTGCCTAGTGGAAATTAAGGGATCTAATACATTTACAATTTAAGAATTAAACATACTAATTTTTAACATTAAGGTGTGCTTATTGGCATATTAAATGCATTTCTTTCATAGTCCAATGATTTAATATATCAGATTTACAAATTCGAAGTATAGGTTGAGTATCATTTATTGGAAATGGTTGGGGCCAGAATTGTTGGAGATTTAAGATTTTTTTCACTTTTTTTTTGAGAGGTTTTTGCTATAGGGCGCGTGTGCTCGCCAGACAGACAGAGAGAGACATAGAGACAGAAAGCGAGAAATCACCCCCCAGGGGGGATGGTCATGCCACAATCCCTTCTCCTCCATTCTCCTCTCGGGATCTTGGGCAGGAGCGCACACACGCCCGGCATGAGTTTTAAGCCACCGGGTCTGGGACGTGAACCGCGGTCGACTACGTGGGAGTCCAGCGACATAGCGATTACGCTAACTGCTGGTTCCCAAGATTTTTTTCACGTTTTGAAATATCTACTCTGTATGTCAAACAAACTACATTTAAGAATGCAATTTCATGAAGTTCTGTTGCCCAATTACTCTACTCCTGGACCAAATGACACATGTAAAAGGTTTTGTTCTCGGGCAGAGTGGGGATTTTCCCCTTTTCTGCTGATGCACCTGGATAAGCCATATGTAAATGTGCTTCAGTCTGAAAACTGAACAAATCTATTCTTGGATACACTATACTTAACAATGGAATTTTATAAAGTCCTTTTATATAGTTACTTAGCTCCAGAGCCAGATCATATATGTAAAGATTTTGTTCTAGGGCAAAGTTGATATTTTCCCCTTTGGTGCTGGTACACATATATAAGTGATAGGTGTAAAGACTTTAATGTGAAAACTGAATAGCTCACTAATTCCAAATAAACTACACTTAGAAATGGATTTTTAATGGGACCATTACGTGGCGTAGTGGTTAATGCACTGATCTTGTTCTCATGGAGTAAGTACATAAGCTTTCTTCTTCTTAAACAAATTACTTATTTATTCATTTATTTTAATTTGATGAGAGAGAGAGAAAGAGAAAGTGAGAAAGCAAGCCACCAGGTCCGGGACTCCAACCTTGGTCGGCCATGTGAGAGCGTCCAGACCCTTAACCACCATACCACCTGCTGGTCCCAGCATAAGCTTTCTTTTTCTCTAATTTCTCATGGTGGTTCTTTACTTTTTCAGCTAAGATTTTAGCAATAATTACCTAGGAAAGTGCTCATTCCTTGAGAGTTTTCATGGGTCAAAATCAGAGTACTATATATAGGTATTTTTTTATATTTTTCCCCAACTTGATATTTATGAAACCTCACAGGTAGTATTACATTGCAATCAATTTGTCCATGAGTGATATTACTCTGATAATTATTAAAATCTGTTCTTGGTATATTTACTGAAAATATTTTCTTTTGTATTTTTGATGAAGATAAGCATAGTACTTGGGAGAAATTGTACTAATCCCTTTGGTATGTTTGTATGTATATACATATAGTGTATATCTGGATCTGTAGCTCTACAGATCTGTGTTTTTCATACAGCTGCAGACATATACACACACATAGAGAGAACCTGTGTATGTGTGTACATCACAAGTGCACATCTGGGAAACATCAACACTGCAAGACGTTGGTCAGATTCTTATCACTGGCTGTACCTGTTCCCCTGTCACTTGACCTTGATTATGTAAATAGTTTAATATTGTCTCTCACCCTACAGGGGACTCATATAGACATTAGAGCTAACGTGCCTGAGATGGAACCCTACTTATATATCGTTTCTAGTTCTTTCTGAAATTTTCCTTCCATTCTCGTAATGTCTTCTATTGTCAAATTGACCCATTTATCAATTTAAAAAAAAGAAAGCTGGTAATGAAAGTTTGTAAGCATCCTTTTTTCTTGCTTCTACATAAAGTTTTATACTTTGCTTTTGCAGTCTCTACCAGTTGAATTTGATGGTCACCAGCTTATAGGCACACATCTGAGGACAGTTGTTTGCTAGATCTTTCTTTCAGTTTGGTCCAAAAGCTCCTCACTTGGTCTTGACTGAGTGGAATAATGCTGTGTCTTCATCAGCTTTGTAGTCTGCCGGTACAACTTGACTCTGCAATATGTCTGTGGACAATTTCAACAGTTTTTCATGTATTTGGGTCTAATCCGTGTATACTTTCTAATTTTCCCAAGTCTGATTTGTGCTATGTTTCAGTTTTACTGAAGAAGTCATATTTTATATATTCATTCATTACAGCTGTCCTACAGAAGGGGTATGCATTCCAGCTTTTCTTGTGAAACACCAAGGACCCCTCAGAAGCAATCATCCTCATGAATGCAGAAACTTTGCTCTTTAGGTAATAAATTTTGTGTGTATACTGTCCCTTTTCTCCATCCTTTTCAATAGTGTTCATTCTTTAAGACTTTAATTCCTTCACCACTGGTCTCATTTTTACTGACTTCTACAACAGAGAAAAACTGCCCAACCTGATACTTCTGAAAAGAACATGGCAAAGCCATATGGAATTCGTTAATCAGCACCATCTCCCTGGGATATCCCCCCCATCACTGCTGGTACCACCCCTTCAGAATACAATATTTTTTAAGAATTAGAATTTTCACAGGAAAAAATTCTGGTACTGAATCAGAAAGAGGGATACATTCACAGATGTGAAATAAATCTGTAGACACAGGGAACTAGAGACAGGCCAGAGCTTGGCCTCCTCATATTAAAGCATGAGAGCCAGAAAAAAAGACCACAGCCACGTGTACACATTTTTATATATTTTTAAGTCCTTAGTTTCATACAGTTTTGAATTAAGAGAAAAGTGTGACTTAATTGTACTAAAACTCAAATATTTTTTGCCCAGCAGGTGGTGTGGAGGTTAAGGTGGTGGGTTCCCACAAAGCTGAATCTTCACTTCAAGTACTGGACCCAGAACTTCAAAATCACACGGGACAGAAGCTGACACGCGTTCAAGCAAAATCATGACTTCTGAGCGCACGAGCAAAAGCAACTTGAATACATTGGTGCAAAAGCTTCATGACTTCTTGGCACACTCATTAGAGGAATCTGAAGAAACAAGTTCACCTCCACGACTTGCGATGAACCATAGCACAGATAAAATAAGTGGCTTTGGATGTAATTCTGCTGTGATGAAAAACAGCAAGGAAGAGGGAGCTATCTCTTCAGAAAAATCCAAATCTTTGGGATCATCGCGATTGAAGAGGAAACCTTCCGTTGTAACAAAGTATGTAGAATCTGATGATGAAAAACTTTTGGGTGGAACTGTAAGTGAAGATGCTTCTAATGAAAATTCAGAAAATGTTATTACTATGCAAAGTTTGCCAAAAGGTACAGTGATTGTACAACCAGAGCCAGTACTGAATGAAGGAAAAGATGATTTTAAAGGGCCTGAATTTAGAAGCAGAAGTAAAATGAAAACTGAAAATCTCAAACATAGAGTAGATGGGCTTCAGGGGATTATGAGCTGCACAGCTTGTGGACAACAAGTCAATCATTTCAAAAAAAATTCCATTTATAGACACCCTTCACTGCAAGTTCTTATTTGTAAGAATTGCTTTAAGTATTACATGAGTGATAATATTAGCCGTGACTCACATGGAATGGATGAACAATGTAGGTGGTGTGCAGAAGGTGGAAATTTGATTTGTTGCGACTTTTGCCATAATGCCTTCTGCAAAAAGTGCATTTTGCGCAACCTTGGTCGAAAGGAGTTGTCTACAATAATGGATGAAAACAGCCGGTGGTACTGCTACATTTGTCACCCGGCACCTTTGCTGGACTTGGTCTCTGCATGTAACAGTGTGTTTGAGAATTTAGAACAGTTGTTAAAACAAAATAAGAAGAAGGTAAAAGTCAACAATGAGCAGAGTAATAAAGTGTATGACCATATTCCCAGATTTTCTCCAAAGAATTGTTCAAATTGCAATGGAGAAGAGAAGAAATTAGATGTTTCGTGTTCTGATTCTGTAACCTACTCTTACTCAGCACTATCTGTGCCCAAAGAAATGATAAAGAAAGTAAAAAAACTAATTGAGACCACAGCCAGCATGAACTCCAATTATGTTAAATTTTTGAAGCAGGCAACAGAAAATTCCGAAATTAGTTCTGCTACAAAGTTGCATCAGCTTAAGGCTTTTAAATCTGTGTTGGCTGATATAAAGAAGGCTCATCTTGCCTTAGAAGAACATTTGAATTCAGAGATTCAAGCTTTGAATGCTGTAAACAAAGAGAAAAATACCCAAGAGCACAAAGTCATAGATAGTAAGTCTGAAACAAAAATACGAAAAGGAGGAAAACTTCATGCTTTGGAAAGGAAAAGTATTTCAAAATCAAAAGGTAAACTGACAAGAAAACAGGTAAATAGTAAGCATATGGATCAGAGTGTTCCAGTAGAGGAGCAAAGATCAAATAAAAATACTAGTGGTAAACATAGGAAATCTGACAGAAAAGAACCTCAGTGTGAACCTGCAAACACTTCTGAAGACTTAGATATGGATATTGTGTCTGTTCCTTCAGTTCCAGAAAACATTTTTGATAATCTAGAGAATGCTATGGAAGTTCAGTGTTCAGCTGATTATCAAGGGGATGGCAACTATGGGACTAACCAAGAGCTAGAAAGTTCATCTGTAAAATCAAATAATCCTTCAAAAGCCAACAGAGGAGGTATTAAATCAAAAAACACAGCTAAAGTGACAAAAGAATTATATGTTAAACTCACTCCTGTTTCCCTTTCTAGTTCCCCAGTTAAAGGTGCTGATTGTCAGAAATCTCTACAAGATGGCTATAAAAGTTCTAATCTGAAAGCCAAGTCAGAGAAATGTGGGCCTAGACATGAATACAGTAATAATGGGCATTTAGTTGAAAATGAAGTTTCATTTGTTTTAGAAGAGTCTGATCTTCAAAGATCTCCAAGTGTAAAGATTACACCCTTGAGGCAAGGGACCAAAACCAACCTCATAGCATCTAATTCACATGAAAGTCATAAAACAGTTAAGGAGAAACTAAAAACAGTGAGAAAAAAAGACAAGCAGAATTATTCTGACAGTGCTGTAAATAATCCAAAACCTAATAAATTGCCTAAATCTAAGCAATCGAAGATTATGAATCAAAATTCAGGTTCTAATGACATGCTAGCAATCCTTAGAGAGGTAAACAGGATGAGCCACAGTTCTTCAGATATTGATATTAATGACACTAATACAAATCATAAGAATTTGTATGATTTAAAGACTCAAACAAGGAAAAGTGATAAAGGAAAAAGGAAACGAGAAAGTTCAACTTCTGGTTCGGATTTTGATGTTAAAAAAGGCAAGTCAGCTAAATGCTCTGTAATTTCAAAAAGGAAATGACAAAAATGCATTGCAAATATAGTTATGACTCAAAATTAGAAAAAGTGATACAGAGCATGAATAAAACAATCTATCATAACAGCCTGAACATGAAAAACAGCAGAAAAGGGATGAATAATCAAGGGTAGGAAACTTTGAAGATTGCACAGGAAGGATCATTTGATGATGCGGAAAGGAAACCAGAGAGAATTTCTCTTCAGCAGAAAGCACAGTTGATAAAGATAAGACCATCATGGAATTCTGATGAATTGTGTAGGAGGCAGCAACCAGGTGTTTCCTCTGATGATAATAATAAGCCGCCTTCTGGGAAAGTGGAGAATTTTAGTTTTCCAGAGGACAAAATGATTGCCAAAACTAAAGAAAAGAGTAAGCATCTGAAAACTAAAATGTGTAGAAAAGTACAGAGTGGCTTATCTGATTTTGCTGAGAAGTTTACAAAGAAAGAAGAGAGTGATGAATCCTCTGAAGAGGATTAAAAGCAGAGCATAAAGGGAACTGAGAAAAAAGGAAAGAAAACTACAAACTTGAAGGAAAAAATAAGATGGGACAACAGTATGAATCATCTCCTGATGGCACTGAGAAATCTGAGGATGAAGAAGCTTCTCATTTTCCTAAGGGCATGAAGCAAAATAAAAATGACAAAACAGATGGAGAAAAGAAAAGTAATATGTGTGTGTGTGTGTGTGTGTGTGTGTATAAAGAAGAATGAATTATGAATTATCTGGTAATACCAGGAAGAGGAGATAGTTGTGAGTCTTCCAAAGATTTAAAAAAAAAAAAAAAAAAAAAAGGAATGGAGCATCTGGCATCTGGTAGAAGGAACGCAATGTGCCTGAAAAGAGCTCAAGACAGAGACAAGATTATTCATCAGCTGATACTGAAATATTTCATGAAAGAAGGTGGTCATGTCTCTTCTGATAAGAGACTAAAAACAATAGAATTTAGAGAAAGAAGAAATTTAAATTCAAAGATAAATAGCAAGGAAACATGAAGTAGCTTATCTTCAGATGAAAAAAAATTACTTGTCTATAATCATTCACTGTACATCAATACAGTATACAAAATGAGATTTTTCATCCAGTATACATTGTATATCAGCTCAATCAAGGATATTACCATACATGTTATCATCAACAAATGCTTTTCTATTTTTTTAAAATTCAGTTTCTTTTATATATTCAATCACATATATCATTTAGCTTGCAAAGTGAATATTCCAACATGTATACCTTTCTCACCAGTCCTGTTGAGAATACTGTTCACTTTATCTTCAACAGATAATAACCCATTTCTTTGTCCCATAAATACCTTGCCTCTCTACTTTTCTCCTTAATGTCTTTCCTCATACTCTCTGCCTTCACCTACCCTCTTCCCATACTATATCTCATATTTATAACCATTTTCTATGTTTCTATATCTTCTAGTCATTTAATCCTTTAGAAAAATAAAACTAGACACAAAAATAAAATAATCACAAATATATAATTAAAAGTTAAGCCCTTCTGTCTCCCTGGCTGGCTGGTGGCCAGTCTGAGCAGCGTGTTATGCACTGAGACTTCTGGCTGACCTGCTGTGCTGGCATAGGCACTGCATCTATACTCTGTGGGGTGACAATGGTAAGCTGGAATAGTGCCATCTTTGCTCAGGTGTGCTGACTTAGTTTATTTGGTACTTTCTCTACTTCGACTGCAAGCAATGAGTGACCCCAAGCTATGAGAATGAAAAAAGAAGCTCTTAAGGAACAAGCTGACCTTTCCAAGTTACCTGACCTTAAAGATGCTGAAGCAGTTCAGAAAGTTTTTCTTGAAGAAATCCAGTTTAGTGAAGAGTAATTAGTCCAAGGTAAGTATGAGAACAGTATGGACAATCTGAGTAATGCCATTGCAGTGTGTACACTGCTGCAACAGTTGCTCCAGGTGCTGCAGCAGACATGATCACCTCCTGTGTTCTAGATGCTGCTGACCAACCTCCCAACAATCAGTCGGAGGACTGTCAGTGCTTAGAACTTGGCTGAAGATGATGTGGAGTGAGAAATGAATGTTAACATAACCAAACGCAACTAAAAATATGTTTAAGATTAACTTGGAAGTTGAGCAGCTCCAGGGAATAAGGGCAAAAAATGCTTGTTATGGACTGTCTTAAACTGAAATTTCCAAAGTTTACTTTGTGTAGATCTATTTGTTTTATTCTTCCCAGTGTAAAATATGTTTTAATAGAAAGCTTTTCATTTTATAAATACACTTAAGAGTTACCAAGAGTCCATGGATTTCTCTTATTCCTAAAACAAGTAATTAAAATGTACTAATAACATGAGAGGAGTAACTCCTGAAAAAGTAAAGGACAGCAGAAGAATGCACATTATTTTTATAATTATTTAATTTGCTTTATTATTATTTTTTTCATTTGCTGTAGGGCACACATACTCATGAGAGAGAGAATGTGAGAAAGCAAGCCACCAGTCTGGGATTCAAACCATAATCAGTCATGTGAGAGTCCATCACTTTTTTTTCTTTTCTGGTTATGATTATCTTTTATTAACAGTATAATGTTTTCATGCAGTTAAAATTTGTACACTAGTTTTAATAATTGCAAGGTTTGATACAGTTCAAATGAACTAACATTTAGGTCTACATGAGGGAAAAATGAAAATACCACTTTATTTAATCAGCTAAATTCTTTTCTGAGAGTAAAAAGTTAATACTGGGATTTTAAAACCTAAATTTCTAGTGTTTTTGTCAATTCAATCATGTATATTACTTAAGCCACAGGACTACCCATTAGTCCTTCCTGTCAGAGAGCAATTAATCTCTTGTACTACTTTTCCTCAGCTTCAGCTTTCTCAATAAACAAATTTGGATGGGCCAAAGAATTGTCATCTTGATACTTGATAGCAGTAGGGATGCTGCTAGGGTCTATTTCTTTTTCAGTACTGGGTGGGTCAGCAACTACTGATTGCTGATCCAGATGCTGAAGCTGCATGTTTCATTTCACTAGGTTCTACTGTCTTTTTGACTTTACTTGATCTGAATGTCTGCTGAACAAAAGAATCACTTTGAATAGCTTCAATTTCTTTTACTCTTTTCACTTGTTTTACCAGGGTAGCTTGGTCTTCCTCTTTTCTTCTCTTTGCTTCTTCATTTCTTTCTTCGGCTTTTAATGTTTCATCGGATTTTGCAGCAGCTTCAAGAATCAGCGGTAGCCTGGCTTTGGCCTGTTAGGCTGGCGGCAGATGTTCTAATCCAGCTTTGATGTTTACAGATTCCCCACATTTGATGTTATGTAATTCCTTGTCCTTGCCTTTCTCCTCTTTTTCTCTTTCTCTCTGCCTTTACACCATTCTGTATCTCTAGAGAGACTATGGGTTTTTCTGTGACTTGATCTCTCACTGCTTCGACTATGGGAAAGTGGACGATTTCTTGGCCTGGACCTTGTTCTGCTTTTTTATCTAGACCTCTGAACTCTATAGGATTTCCCTCAACCCCTTGAACAACTTTGACTTCGTTTTCTTCTAGAGCCATAAGAAGAACTACTGCTTGATTGATGCCTGCATCTTCTATCATAAGAATGTGAACAAGGCTGGAGATCTCTGAACCAAGATCTTGACTTTGATCTTGATTTCCTTCCACCTTTTTTCCAGCTGTATGTTCTACTACCTGAAGAACGGCTTGAAGATGACTGTGGTGTTTCTTTTTTCTCTTGCTTCTGCTTTCTTCCTCAGTATCTGATGACTGGTGTTCCATTTCTATAAGCTGGGTCTGGACCTTCACTCTCACACCTCTCATTGATGCGCAAGCACCATGGTTCTGGAAACATCCCTGCAGATCAGGACGTCACCAGTGTCCTCTGAACTTTGGAGTCCATCAACTTAACCATCATGTCACCCGCTGGTCACAAGTGCACATTTTTTTAGACAGAATCTGCCGAGGCCAGCTTAGCATAAACACATTTTCCTGAGTGGGGAAGGCTGCGGATTAGAAATAGATGCAATACTAGAGTAAAAGAGATACCAGAGTAAAAAGATATCAGAGTAAAATAAGGAGATTATAAAACAAGAAAAGGAGTGCATTCTATTATTATTCAGTGTAAAACATGGGGACAAAATTGTCTAAAAAAATGTATGTTCATGTGTTGTCTTACATGTTAAAAGCTAGGGGCAATAAAGTTAGCATCAAGCAGTTACGTCAGTTCCTAATTTTTGTGCAAAAAATATGGCCTTGGTTCCCAGAGCAAAAAACAGTTTATAAAGAAATTTGGGACAGAGTCAGAAAACAATATACAACAGAGGGTCCTAGCAAAATTCCCTTCTTTGCTTTCTCCCTATAAAATTTAATTAAGGAGTGCTTAAAACAAAACCCTCAACAAAACAAAACAAAACAACAAAACAACGGAGTTGGTTCATTCAGTAGCTCCACTCCGGAGGGCTATGCCTCCTTTTTACCTAAAAAATCAGAGTCTGTAACTAAAGACAAGGATACAAAGGTAGTAAAAATAACTGGCGCCATATAATTTCACAAATCCTTTTGGAGGAATAATCTTAAAAAAGGTTTGTGACTTCCTTTAGCCTAATACTAGGCAGTATCAAAGTATTGAGTTTCAAAAAGACAGCCATTGACAGTAGGCAAGTATTGCTTTCATATGTAAATGCTGCTCAGTAGCCCTACTAGAATAGCTTACAAAAGCACATATCTACATGTGTCTTTAGGCCACATGTGTTAATCACATGTTTTCAAAGTGGCTGCTCTCCATAAGAACCTTGAATATAATTACAGGGTGTTTTTTTTTTTTTTCTTCCTCCCCCTTAGGGTGTATGTGCTTGTGAGAGAGAGACCTGGGTAGTGAGGGGGAAGTGAGAAATTACCCTTCAGGGGGATGGCCATCAACTAACACTTCTTCATTTTCCTCCTGGGATTTCAGGCACACATGCATCCATGCCTGGCATGATTTTCAATCCATGATCAGCATGTGGGAGTCCAGAAGACTGATCATCAAAGTTCCTAAGAGACCATTTCTCCCCATTTGCTCTCAGATATTAAAAAGGCAATAATATATATAAGATGTCATGGGACCAGCAGTTGACGTAATGGCTATGTCACTGGCTTCCCATGTAGTAGACCGTGGTTCAAGTCTTGGACCTGGTGGCTTAAACTCATGCTGGGCATGTGTGTGTGTGTGCCCAAGATCCCAAGAGGAGAATGGAGGATAAGGGGTGTGTGGCCTTCCTCCCTGGGGGATGATTTCTCACTTTGTCTTTCTGTCTCGTTCTGGTGAGTGCATGTGCCCTATAGCAAATACCTCTCCCCCCCAAAAAAAGTCATCAAGGGTAAGGATTTTTAAGGTTGCCTTTTCCAGTATAAGAACTCTGGAGCACACATCACTGTCCTTGGCATCTCCAAATGAGTCAGCCTATAGAGTGAGAAGCCCAGTTAACTGCAATTCTTCACCACCAGCACATTTCTGCCCCTGGTGTGACTTCAGAAAGTACCTGTGCCCCTTGGCCTAGAGTTGCAACTGATGATAGGTTCCTGTAAGAAGGGTTGGTACAGGAAGGAGGCAGAGGGACTAAGATGGAGAAAAGCATAGAAGAGGAAGGGACCAGCTAGGGGCCCTCAATGGGGTCCCCACTACCATTGGAGGTTGGGTGATAATGATGTTGAAGCCCTGCCAGCTCTACCATCAACACCGCCACCTCCAAAGTTCTTTTTAAAAATTGTTTTAGAGACTTTTTACTATAGGACATGTGTGCTCACCAGAGAGACATAACACCAGAAATCATTCCCCCGACTACTGGGT